CAGAGGTACAAAGTCCTCCAGTGGCTATAAATTTTAATTAGTATAAAAGCATTATTTTGAAATACAAGAATATGAAGAAAATAAGCAAAAAAGTTGCAGGTGGCTGGAAATAAACAGACAGGACAAGGGGCATGCTGTTGATGTCAGAAGCTCTGTGAGTGGATTTAAATCCCATCTGCATTTAAACCTTATCCTGGTTCTTTTTCAAACTAACACATTCAAACTTTTATTTAGGTCTAAAATGCCCTGATGCATCCCCACTAAGGAAGGAAGGAAGACAAGCTGGACTCAACTTACCAGAAGTCATCTGAGGATGGCTCTCTGGCTAGTTCTGGGAAGTGGCTGGCAGGAGAGAACCAGGTAGTCAGAAGAAAAGGCCAGTTGTTAGAGGACACATACAAATCCACAGGTTCAATAGGACCTCTCAGGAAAGTTGAAGAAACAAGTCCCCAGGGAATCCATTAAGTTTTATACATATTTAATAGCAACTACACATCCAAATCCCTCACAACATTTGACAAAATAGCAAGAACTATACTTTGTTGGGAAGCTAGAAATGAGATTTCCTGTAAGCAATAAACATGCTCACCCATAGGTTACGCCAGCAATGCTACACTTCTTGAAGTTCATGATATTGCACGTAAGAGTTCCGGTCTTGTCAGAAAACAGGTATTTTACCTAAGCCGAGAATGAACAAAATGCATATCAAGAGTGTAATAAGGGGCTGGAGAGATGGTTCAGAGGTTAAGAGGACAGGCTGCTCTTCTAGAGGACCCAGATTCCATTCCCAGCACCCACAGGGTAGGCCACAATCATCTGTAACTCCACTTCCAGGGGATTCAAATGCCTTCTTCTGGCTTCCAAGAGCACTGGGTATTGTGTGGTACAAAGATATACACATACTCAAAATTAAATACACATTAAATAAAGTAACTTTTAAAAAATGAGTATAATAAGATGCAAGGATCAAGAAATGAAGTTGTCTTCTATGTCTGTAAATCTGAATGAAATTTAAGTGCAAGCCCATGGAAGTAAACAAATCAATCATAAATGATACACTTTAATTCACAGACCATTCACAAAACGTTTTCTACTACCAATTCTATAACTTGGGTAATAAAGAATAAAAGAAATTTCCATAACTCCCCTGGCCACTGTGAATAACAGTGGTTCTCAACCTTCCTAATGGTGCAACCCTTTAATACAGTTCCTTATGTTGTGGTGACCCCCAACTATAGAATTATTTTTGTTGCTACTTCATAACTGTGATTTTTGCTACTGTTACAAACTGTAATATAAATATCTAATATTCAGGATATCTGATATATCTGGTATGTGACCCCTGTGAAAGGGTCATTCTACTCCCCAAAGGGGGTGCAGCCCAAAGGTTAAGAACTTCTGGTCTATAAGCATCATCACATGTCCTGTTACTCGGCATTTCGGTGATAGATTTCATCCTCCCAAGTTCTTCCATGTTCTCACAGAAGATGTAATTGTTTTTAAGAGTCTACCCCCTGACTAGATTAACAATGGCCAGCATGGCAAGATATTCCTGAAAGTGTAATAATGGTACACATAATTTGGCAGTAACCAACAGCTGTCTAATTGAACTTGAGGCCTACTTAACAGGATGGTACCTATCGAACTACCTGGGGTAGTGAGGTCACAGATTTTAGAAGAGACCCTACTACAACCAGACCAGCATAGCTCCTGGCGTTTTTTTTTTTTTTTCAGTCTCACTGTGAAGCTATGGCTGGCCTGGAACATGCTTCTTTGGCCTTGAACTAACATGTCTGCCTGCTCCTGCCACCCAAGTGCTAGAATTAAAGACATGTGCCACCATGCCTGGCCCAATCAGCATATCCTGACTAAATTCTAAATCTTTATCCTTATAATTGAAGTTAAGTGTTAGCTCTCAGCCCTCATCAAAGAAGCTGCTCTTTGCAGCAGACAGAGGTCACCACAGAAAGCCACAATTGGTCAAAAGGCAGAGCTCATAAGGGGAGCCCAGCCCTAAAGGATATATCTACAGCACAACTCCTATTCCTAAGGCTCAGGGATCATTGAGAGAGAGGCGGGGAAGAGACTGGAAAAACCAGAGAAACAAGAAGTCTGCTGTGAGAGTCTATCTCCGAAAAAAGGACAGGGAAGCTACACCCACCCACAGTACCTCAACAACATGGCTGCTAAGCAAGGCCTAAACAAAGACCACACCAACAGACAGCTAACATGGAAAGAGAAAATCTCCTCAGACTGCACTCCTGGACAAAGAACGACAGCTAACTAATGACTGCTGTCTTGGGGCTTCTATTGCTGTGCTAAAACATGATGGGCAGAAGCAACTGGGAGAGGAAGGGGTTTATTTCACCTTCCAACTCTTGGGTCCCACTCCATCACTGAAGGAAGTCAGGGCAGGAACTCAGGACAGGAAGCTGGAGGCAGGAGCTGATGCAGAGGCCATGGAGGGGTGCTGCTTACTGGCTTGCTCTCCATGGCTCTCCCACCAGCCCAAGGGTAGCATGGCCCACAGTGAACTGGGCCTTCCCCCATTAATCATCAATCAAGGAAATGTACCAACACCTAGCCAATCTGATGGTAGCATTTTTCTCAGTGTGGGTCCCCTCTTCCAAAATAACTCTAGCTTGTGTCAAGCTGAAAAAAACTAGCCATCACACCTTCTGAGAGAAAACTAGTTTTTCCCAGGGATGAACCTCCTAATTGGTTGTCTAATACCAAGTGGTCATTCATAATCATATATACACAGTAACATTAAATGGACTCGGTAGGTTGTAGTGGTATGTTTAAGCATTTATATAAATCTATATGGAATAACAGTGATCAAAGAAAAAGAGACCATTAATTTGAGACGGAATTGATTTGAGAAGGTAATGGGAGGAGCTAGAGAGGGGAGGGATTTGAAGAAGGAAAGGGAAAGGGGAAATAATGTAACTATATTTTAATTAAACTAATTTTTAAAGAAATATTACATAATGATCAAATCAGGGCAGGCAGCTTTTCCACGCCCTTCACATGGAAACTTACTGAAAAATAGTAATTACATATGTTTATGATTATATGATATTTCAAAACATGTATGCATGTTGATCATATTGATCAATGGGATAATTAATGTTTCCATTGTTTTCAAGTAATAAGAAATTTTATGTTTCACAGAGTAAGTCTAGGAACACCAGAAGCACAGCAGAATTAGCTCCTCTGTCTCTTTTTAAAAAGAATTAAAAGTTTGCCAACATAGTAGAAAGAAAAATCTTATAAAGAACTGTAGAATTTGTGATCCCTCTCCCTCTTGAGTATTAACTTCTCCTTAGGCAAGCCACTCCATGCCTGGCCAGGACAGGGTACTTCATCCTAGGTGCTTTTGTGAGCATCTTCAGTATTTCCATCTTGCTAGGTCAATTCAATGGCACATGAGAACAATCATATACTTAGCCCTGTGAACTGACAAAGGCTACGTATACAGTTGTCCCTAAACATCCACAGGGGGTAGTTCTAAGAACCTCCATGGGTACCAAAATTCTCAGATGCTCTAATCCACTACATAAAATGGTACAGTGTTTGTATAAAGCCTACATACAACCTTTGGTGTGTTTTACATAATCTTAGATGGTGTGTGACACCTAAGACAATAGAAATGCCATACTATCCTAGCTGGGGAACAGTGACAAGACTCTTCTGTGTATATTTGGTACAGGTGTAACCACCATCGGCACAATCCGATTTTTGACCTGCAGTTGGCTGACCACACAGGGCTCGAGCCTGCTCCAGGTGGACACAGACCCTGGATAACCAATCACATTGTCATTTCACTGTGTGTGTTTTTGGGAAGAATGCTTAAGAGAAGAGAGCAGAGAGACGCTACTGTTGCCTGGAAGTACTGGGAAGGATTCAAAGAGGCAAACGTCATCTGCTGTGCACCAAGAACTCTCATGGATTGTTAAAGGAGTAGAACTTTATCAATGACAATGTCATTGTAGAAAGAAAGAATGCGGGTAGATGATAGTTATACATACAGACTGACTGATTGCTGATGGTTGATGGTTGGTTGATGGATGGATGGATGGATGGATGGATGGATGGATGGATGGTTTGGTTGGTTGGGTGGTTATATGGGTGGGTAGGTAGATTGATTGACTGACTGACTGACTGACAGATAATAGATATTTAGCACTGGATTCTGCTCCTCATGATGAGTACTGCAGGTGAACAGGGTGGAGGGGATAGGGACACGGGCCTCACTGAGGAAGACTTGTGCTTGGTGCCAGAGTATTCTCTCTAAATGACAATTCACTTTGCTACACCAAATAAACTTGAGGACTCCTGTGAATTCTAAATTTTCTATTTAAAAAATAGAAAAAAAATTGCTCTTCACTCTAACTAGATTTGGAAAATATCAAAGGAATAGAATCACCTGAAAATGTGGTCATAGAATTATATTTTATTACAAAACTTGACAGACAAATTTGAGCTTCAGCTTTCTTGCAATGAACTAAAAAATGCTCCAGCACAAATGCAGAACTGACTCTGTCCTTAAGCTGGGGGGGAAGGGGGTGCAGTGGCACCTGACCCTCATCCTGGCCCCCAAATGAATGAGAAGTCAGGCTGACATCTTCCCAGAGGGTTGTGCGGCAGGTGTTCCAGGGAAACAAAGGCCAGATTTGGACAGGCAATCTGCAGCCCTCACCTGTTATTCATCATCCAGCTTTCCCGGGGTGAACTCATTATTTTTTTAATCTCTAAAATGAAGACGCAGCACATCACCACCCCCCAATCGGACTGCTGGGAAGTTCAAAGTGTATAAAATAAAAATCATAGTTTTTAATTACCTTAGGTTAAGAATAAGTATTATACATTCAAAAAAGGTTATAGGTTGCAGTAATTCAATGGAAGAGGCAGACATAATGCAACATGAAAGTCAGGAGGAACAAGTAGAAATCAAGATGAAGACACAGAAGTCACCGACTTTCTGAACCATGTCAAGGATACCTGTCCTTCAAATGGCCCCACATGCTTTGTGGGGCAGTCCAGTAGCCAATCTCCTACTCTGTTTTCCTGGTCATCTGTTCTGAGAAACATATTTAAAAGGGTCCAAAATAACATTATATTTTTGTGCAATGTTCTATACTTTTTCCCCAGATATGTTTTCGACAAAATGATAAACTTGTGTCTCCAAAACCAAGTGACAACTGCATTCACTGCCACCTTGCAAACCAGACGTCACAAACACAGTCATGGGTAACTATTTGTGCAAAATCCCCCACAGCGCCTCTGCTAACACTGGCTTCCTGCTCATGGCACTGTCCCCAAAGTCCCCAGAGAGGCTCTCACCTGCCCGAGCTCTTCATTAAGGTTCGATGTCCTGGCCATAGCAGGAGTGTCATTTTCAATATAATACATATCTGTGTCCTGCAAGGGAAAGTGGGGAAGGAGGGAAGAAAGAAGGAAGCCTTCAGAAAACATGTGATCCTAATAGTTCATTCAGATTAACACAGACTCTGGCCACCTCAAATCCTTCCATTGTCATCCAAATGCTAACTGTTAACTTGGCTGGAAAATGAAGCTGCAATCAGGATGTAGAAACCCTGGGTCCCAGTATGACCCACAGTATTTAGGTTTGGGTTCAAGACAGTCATCTCATGCCCTGGCTGTGAGCTGGGTCAATGCCTCATTCACAGGCTTGTAGTGAGAATCGAAGTAAAACACACATGTAGGTGCCTAGTTTGAAAAAAAAAAAAGGTGACAAGGTCCAGTGTTTAATGGCCATGGTCATGACAGTCCCTTAAAAACCCCACCTCAGCCCCTACAATCCACCCAGGGTGACTGTCATGATGAAACCCGTACAGAATGGACACTTGTGAGTACACATGAGAAGCCTTTTCCTTAGCATAAAGGGGACTTGGGAAGCATGGCCATGGTGGCCACAGGACAAGCACCCACTGGCACCCTTCCCCCACATTCCCCACTATGGTTATGGCATTGCTTGCCAGTCATCAGTTTGGCTGGCTTAACCCCATGACCTAATAATAAACAGCCTCTACGATTTCCTTTCTGGGACTCAATGAAATGACAAAGGCCTGTGCAGAGTACTAGAAAGCAGAGGCTGGCACCCCTCCAGGAGCTCATGTTTCACACTCTGCTTGGAAACTCACCCAGTTGATGAAGAGAGCTTGCGTGTATTTCACAACCTCCAGCGTCACCAGCAGACTGATGGGGATCAGATTGTTGTACAAGATGATAAATGTCAGCAAGTTGTAGCCAAAATTATCCGAGCTCGCGTCTACAGACAAAAACCAAGACAATCCATACAGCTTTAGTGGAAGTCTCCATTTCATTTCTTTCCATTTTGCTATTCTAGCCTTTTTTTTTTCCCTAAAAGATGCTCCCAACCAAAGCCCATGCGCCTGTCTTGAGACTGAGGAGTTACTGTGCCAGTGCAAACTCCAAAGACTGTTGGAATTCAGTCCCCGTGGGTAGTGGGTAGTGCTGGCTTCTCTTTAGAGGCTGGGGAAGGAGGCAGAGGAGGGAGCAGAGCCAGCCCTCCCCTGGGAGGGGAATGCCCTCTGGGGCCTCAAAAGGGGATGTGGCTATTACAAGGGTGGTCAGGCAACATGGCAGGAACCGAGAGAGGAGGCTGCGGAGGAGGCGAGCAGAGGACTACGCCTGGGAATCAGGAATCTGTAGTGGCTCCAAGCCACACCCATTGAGTCTTCCAGTGGGAAGGCTTGACACGTGCATGGTGCAGATGATGAACCCTGGGACTGCGGAGGGTGGCTGTGATGGGGAGGGGTGATGGGAATGAGTAAGGGAAGCGAGCACTGGCCGGCCAGCTGACATCCCCCAGCCTTTCATTTGCTACCCGCCCCCAAGCCTTCCACTCTCCAGCTGGTGGCCCTTCTCCATGGCAGACTACTTTACTATCTGCTTCTCTTAGACAATCAAGGAGTTGCTAAACAGGACCCATAAGTCCCAATAACTCAAGTCCCCCCCGGAGTATGGCATTTGTTTAGGAATCAAATTTATCTGCCAATAAAAACTTATTAAAAAATTAAAACTTTGTGACTCTTTAATACAAAGCAAAAACTGCTTTACAACACGACATACAACCACAAATGACATTAAAGAGCAGCGACTATGCAAAGAAAACCGACCGCTAAAGCCTCAGAAGCCTGAGAACGTCCGGGCTTGCCGAAAAACCAAACAAGTCCATAAAAGAAGAAAAGAGAGTATCTACCACTATGCAAAATGTTCAGCCAAACAAACCAATGAAAAGGAGGTTAAGGCAGGACCAAATTTGATAGGAAGTGAAATCCAAGCACCAACAGAGGCAGCGGAATGTGAACTGACTTCTCCGAGCAGGTGCGTGTATAGACTGTGTTCCCTGAACATCACACAGTTGGCATTGGAGCTTAGTGTGATCTGATCCACTCAAGTGCCAGTTTCCCCAAAGCTGTGTTGATGCCACATATTTACTCAGATCACAATAAAAAAAAATACATTCAGATGAACCAATCTTCATGTCTGAGGCAAGCTACATAACCAAAGCCAACACCAAGTGATATGATCAACTACAACGCAAACCACAGCCATGTGACCATGTTCATAAAGGAGCAACCGGCACAGGAGCTCAAGTCTGCAATCCCAGCATTTGAAGGCAGGAGGACCAGGAATCTGAGGCCAGCTTCTGCTACAGACTGGGTTCAAGGCCAGCCTTTACCTCATGAGACCTTGTTTAAAAACAAACAAGCAAAAAACGGGTAACATGAGTTTTCTTGCATTTCAAAACCTGAGAGTTTTATGATTAAAGAAATTGGAAGAGTAAAATCATGTCTAAATCCATTTAAAAATAATTGAGAAATGTCAAAAACTTATCATGAAATTTTTGCCACTAAATTCTATTTTTTTTTTTCCTCTGAGGTCAGAGAACAGCAGATCTTCCCTCTATTCCCTAGGATCCACCAAGAAGCAAAACAAGACAGAATCATCAAAATCAAGTTAAGTCTCGAGAAATGGATCAAATGCATGTGTTAAGAAAATCTGCCAACTCTTGGAAGAACAGTTGGCACCTTGGACTTATTCCATTCACAGAACCTTGTCATGTCAGTTCTGCTCTAGGGGGTAGTAGTGGTTATCAGGTTGACTACCATTACCTACCTCCCCAGATGCAGACATTCTACCCTAGGGCAGGACAAGAACACCTAGGTAACTCACATCATTTGAATGAAGTACGGAAAAAAATGCAATATGCAATGTCCAATCAAAAACAATAGATCTCAGCGGCTAATGGTCAGGGAAGGCAAGTGTTCCCATACACGGGTAAGGAAAAACAGAAAACTGGCTTGAAATTTAGCAGAGCTATTCATGGGAAAGGGTAGCCAGGGAAGTTCCGCTAAGAGTTCATCCTGGTCAGCACAGAAGACCTTGTCTATGTACAATCTAGATGCCAGCACAAACAGTAAGAAGACGGTGAGATGGATGAAGCAAGGAGATGATACTAGCTACTAATTCGTCCACAGAGACTTCCAGAAAAGGCCAACTAGTAGGTTAAAAGAAACAAGTTCATAAACATGTATCTTTTTTTCCTTTTAGATCTTTAAGATATCCTAGATTATACAAAACACTGATTATAATGTGTTGTTAGGTTGACAGTACCTACACACAGTGTATATACGACAATAATAGCACTAGCGGAGGGGTGAGGGGGGGAGCCTGGAGATGAGTTGGTCTGATGTTTGTGAATCAAGTTAGTAGTAATCCACAGGGTTTCTCATGTTGTCATCCCTAGAGCAACCATGAGAAAGTGTCTTGAAAATTAGCTGAGAAACAATCATTAGAGCATAGAACAGTTCCCAGATACACCCATCCTCACTTCACCTCATGATTCCTAATCTGTTCCTCTCCAAGAAGGCCTGGCATAGGCAGGGTAGCCATGGGAACAGAGGGAGGGCGTGGCTATCACCCACAGACCCTGTGTGGAAGGACCTTCCAAGAGCTTTGTCCCACAGAAGTGAGCAGCAGCCACCCCAGCACTCACCTGTAGCATGAATCTTAACAGTTCTTATTAATAAAATCAAACCTGAGGCCAGTTATTGGGGTGAATTCTGGAAGATCAGAGAGACAGAACAAGCCACAGCTAACTTCACCTGGCCAACTTCTCAGCTGATCTTGTTTCCTCAGACTGGAAGCCTCTGAGTCCTCATCCGGAATGGGTCTCAGCTGAACTGTGCTGCTCAAAAGCCTGAATGCTTAACCAGGCCAAATACTTAACCAGCCAAATGCTTCTAGTTTCTGGTCCTCACACCTTATATACCTTTCTGCTTTCTACCACCACTCCCTGGGATTAAAGGCACTTTCTAGGATTAAAGGCATGAGTCACCATGCCTGGCTGTATCCTTGAACACATGGATTTCTGCCTCTGGAATGTTAGGATTAAAGGTGTGTACTATCACTGCCTATCCTAAGTATCTAGTGGCTTTTCTGTTCTCTGACCCCAGATAAGTTTATTAGGGTGCACAATATTTTGGGGAACACAATACCACCACACTCACCCATCTTCTTGATGTACCAGCTCTTTCCACCATGAGACCCATTCCAGTACAGGGCTCCCACCGAGCTCACCAGTGCCATGACCAAGAGGATGCCAAACAGCACCAGGATCTGCACGTTGGTTACCTTCTCGACGTTGGACCTCTTGAGAGGTGCTTTTGTTGAATTCTGTAAACCGGTATTGAAAGGTAGTAACCATCACAGAACAGGCTTGGGCAAAAGTAAGGAGGCACTGAGTAAGACGATCACATACCATGATGGAAATGAAAAAGACCTCTTTTCCAAATTAATGATGAAATTAAAAAGTGCATCATACTCCTGAGTAAACAGCACAGTTTTAAAAGACATTCTCCAGTTTAAAGGACTCACCTGTGGTGGTTTGAATAAAAATGGCTTATATATTTGAATGTCACCAGGGAGTAGCACTATTTGAAAGGATTAGAAGGATTAAGAGGTGTGGCCTTGTTGGAGGAAGTGTGTCAGTGGGTATGAATTTAGATGTTTCCAAAGCCCATGCCAAGACCAGAGTCTCTGTCTACTGACCAGGATGTAGTTCTCAGCTACTGCTTCAGCATCTGCATGCATGCTGCCATGATGATAATGAACTAAGCCTTAGAAACTGTAAGCAGGCCCCCAATTAAATGCTCTCTCTTAAAGTAGTTGCCTTGGTTATGATGTCTCTTCATAGCAATAGATCATTGACTAAGATGACAGTCCAACTCTGCATGATCTAGTCCATACTTTTATTTACACCTTAGCATTACATCAGCTACTTTCATAGACACAGAAGGCTCTAGATAATCTAAGTATGGTCTAAAAGAAACCAATACACTGATAATTCTTCACCATAAAAATCTAAGGAGAACCTCCAAAGCAATAATTCAGCTCTGTGATAAGCATAAGAGAGATTTTTAAAGTGTAGATGTTCTTTCTAGTAAGAAGGAATGAAAAAGAAAGAGACACAAATATAAATGCATCAATAAAGCAAGAGAGAACATGGGTAGGTGTCAAAGCAAATGAATGAAAGGTTAGCTTGGAGAGGTGTAAAAAATAAGCTCCTTAAGGCAGGACCACCTTGAGTTGGGTGAAGGTAGACCAGAAGGCAGACAGAGGAGCTGAGGCTTGTGTTAGGACCTGGGTACCAAGATGTTCAAGGAAGCTGCACTCCAGGTTCACTGCATCTTACATGGAAGATGTGAGACTGCAACCTCTCAGCAGTGGAAAAGTCCATCAGGTAGTATCAACAGGATAGTTATATGCCTGAAGCCTTCTATAAAAGAAATCCCCAAAGATTGGTATGATGGGCCAATGATGGGCCCCAACGAAGGACTTCACAGAGGTGACTTGGGACTTTTATATGAGTAGATTAGCCTGACTTCCTAGATGAGCTCAGTCTAGTATACAGTGACTCTCACATCACAACCATCACCCATATCTTTCTGAATTCCATTGTAGACCCAGAAATTCTGTCTAGTGTGAGCACTATGGATGTCACTGAAGGTAGGCAAGTTAGGGAACTGTCACACTAGGAGTTTTAGACTGTCTTCTGGGTATCCCCCATTTAGTTTTGTCCTGCTCTGTTGTTAGTTTACTGAGTTGTCTTTTATAGACTTTGAAGAAAAGTCCTCCAGGGTCAAGATGGAAGTTTGCCAGCAAAGGCCATCTTCGTCAAGCACCGTGGCAAGGCTCCTGGGATGGCACACCCACATCTGGTCTCGTGTTGAGAACCAGGAACTGTTCTGTTATAAGACTGATTATCCAAATTCTTTAAACACTAAAGACAACCCTACTGTGTTAATTAAGAGTCATTAAATTTTCAGGAAAGAAAAAAAAATGACAAAAGCTGGCATTTCTGTGAGCCTATCAGTTAGCTAAAGTTGTTGAAATCCAACCAGTCGCCAGGGTTAGGAAAACAGACTTTTCATCCAACACAAGGAAACAACCTAAAACTCCAGGCTCCAACACATGCCCAGGATGGAAAGCCAAGCTTGGCACACTCACTCCCTTTTCCAAAACATTTCCACTTGCAACAATGAGTTTTTAATGCTCAGTTCCTATTAGAACAATAAGTCCTTTGTGTAAAATTCTTAAAGGACACTATCACTTTGATGTCTTGGGCTACAATAAAAATGGGTCCAACTGCAAGATTTTGCAAATGCTGGAATCTGACCTGAATTGTGTGCATCTTATTCCTCCGGAGAAAGCAAACATCAGAATGCTAGTCGGAATATGTCTGGAGCGTGTCAACCTAGATTTCAGCCTCAGTCCTCACTCTTTCGGGATTTGTAAGCTAAGCTGACACTGTGCTTTAGTTGCTCTGTTTCTAAAATAGCAGTCCTGAGGCTAGAGAGATGGCTCAGTGGTTAAGAGCACTGGTTGATCTTGCAGGAGACCTGGGTTTAATTCCCAGTACCCACAGAGTGGCCCACAACCAGCTCTAACTCCAGTTCCAGGGGATTTGACACCCTCTTCTCTCTTCCGGCCTCTGCAAACACTGAACAGACATGGTGCACAGAACCTCATGCAAGCAAAACACCTATGTATATTAAGTAAAAATAAATATTTTAAGTAGTGGATGTACCTTCCTCATACCAAGGAATAAATGACTCCATATATATGTGAATCACAAAACCATGTATGCCTTGTTATCATCAATGTTTCCTAAAATTACTGATTACCTCTTTCCCATTAAGTCGACCAACAGAAACGATCTGAGTGTTTGCTGTGTATAACTACACTAAGCATGAACTGAGGAAGCTCTGAAAGTTAAAAGGTACACGGTGGAAGCTTCCGAACCCCAAAGCCATTCAGCTTCCCCTCAGCCGTCAAAAACACAAGTGTAGACACAATGTTATTGCACGAACAGAATGGCTTCCAGCTGTTGTGTTATTTTATATTCCTTTTGAAATTTCATTGTTCGTGTTGGTTCAGCCCTAAAGGCACAGCAAGTCTAGCACAGATGTTTCTGGGGTTTTCCATCACTCTCTGTATGTCAACAGGAGTAAGTCTTGCCAAGGTTTGTCACACAGAGGGCAGGGAAAGTGCCCCTCACACTCAAAGTGCGCCAATGGCGTGGACCCATCCTGCCCACTGAAGCCATGGTGGGAATGTTTTGATACAAATTATATTTGGCTTGAGCTCCAAAGCTGTAATATTAATATGTGATCTAGAAGAAGAATATTATACCCTGAAAAATCACCCAGGGTACAAGGGAATTTGGAGAAAGCTTGAACTTTTAATAAGCATGATCCAAACCTTAGGCTTGGTACGCTACCCAAATGTGAACTACCCACCCACGGCCTCTTTACTGCTTCATTACAAAAGCTGTGGAGAGCATAGCTCCAGAGGTTTGCTGTGGCTACTGGTAATGGGCTGCTTAAGAGGTGGCGGAGCGTGAAACCATCCATCAAGATGCTCTTTGTACGCAGACTGCTCAGAGACAATAAACTTTAAGTGTTCTAATCCTGTGAATGAAAGAGAGCTGAGCGGGAAAGCAGGCCTGCTGAATGATTTTCATTCACTCCAGGGCTGCCGCGGAGGCCGTCAACCAGTCATTTTTCTACTTGCTATGAGTGACCCTCCAACACACCTTCTAGGAGTATTCTTCTAAGCCTGGAGGCCTCCTGTTACACCCAAAATGCTGTGTGTCTTCTCCATGCTTCTGGATCTCTCCTCCTGCCACTTCTCTTACCCAGCTAAGGACATGTGACACCCCAAATCAGACTCCTCTGCCAAAAGAGGGTGCCTCAGTCAGGACCCACTGGCACCGGAGGTGGCTCTCCTGGAGTTAAGACCCTGGAGTATTACCTGAGTCTTTGTTCCCAAGTCCACACCAATTGGATGTAGACCTTCTTCCCTTCCCCCCGCAGGTCACCTCCCTGAATCTCACCAACACTGAAAACCTGAGAAACTGTCTCCTGGAATTCTTCTCTGCTCCAGCCCCATTTTCAGTCTGCCTTCACCATCGCAGCTCTGAGTCCCTTTCTACTCAGCATCAAGGGACCTGGCGCTGTTGGACTGCCCCCTTGAGCTTCCTCGGGCTCCCACTGCGTGGATCAGCCACAGGTCTCCCAGTCTACAACTCCTCAACCTCCGAAACTCAGAGGCGAGTACTGTACACTGACATCCAGCTGTCACTCAACTCCAAGGGCCATTTTCAGCTTCAGGAACTCTCCTAGCCCTCTAATCCAGATTCCTCCCATGTCTACACTGCATTAACCAGCACTCTAAGCCTGGGCTGGGAGACTCTCACCTACAGATCCACGGAACTTTAAAATGGCAGAGTTTACAGTAAGGACATCCCTACTTTCTGTATTTTCCATATATACTCCTTTACCTGCCTGGCCCCCAAAGGTGAAGATTTAGCCTTTTTGCTAATGTACCCAGATGTTTTTAGTACAAGACTCAGAGGATAGTGGCTGCAAACATTTTTCAACCAAGACATAAGCCAAATGTGACTTTGGAAATTACATAAGACCCAACTCTCTTTAAGAGTTAGAATTAACAAAATACAATACTTTTGTATAGTAATTTCCTCTGATATAAAAACTTTCATCTAAAAGGGAAGGTTATTAAAGCAAAGGATTTTCTAAGATCAAGTGAAACATTCCATTCTACAGGGAAGCTACTCGAGCTTGGGAGGTAAACAACCCAAAGGCTTCAGGAAAGTCCCTGAAACTTATCAGATTCACTAGGCCCCTCCCTTCCCAAGAATCTACAAACAGTAAGGACTGCACTGAAAGACAGTTTGAGTTCATTGAGCTGCTTAGAAGAGGCTCAGACCAACTGAACTGCCAGGAAGAAACAGAGGCCTGGAAGAGGCACAGGCCAACTAAGCTGTCTGCAAAGGACATTCCCTGACCTGCCAAGCTGTCTGGAGGCTGCGCAATGTGCTTTAGATTTCTGGATTCTGTGATCCATCACCCATGCTGGGTGGGCTCTGGTGATGCAGTTGTCTTTGAGTCATTTTTGCTCTTCTAAGTAACCCCTTACCCATGTTCCCACAGGTGATCCCAATAAATGCACTTGATCCACCAAGTTGGACATTGGTGGCATCTATGCTTTGGTTTGTTATCATTTCCCTGACCAGAGGTTTCTTCACATCTCTCCAGGAATAGTGTCATACAACAAATGCCAAAATGTATCAGAGGAAATGTAAGAAATGATAAAGAGATTCGTGTAGAAGTTCAGAAGACATTTGGCCAAATATGTCATGATATAAATATGGGCTATGAATCTATAAACAAAAATTTAAGAAAAAGCATTAACAGTGAAAAAGAGAAAAACTCTTTTAAATGAATTCTGTTTCTTTGGTATATGAAGAATAAACATTAGTTCATTGTTCCTTTGCTTTAAATGACCTAGAATTCATGTAATAAGAGTTTACTATAACATCCCAATTAGTGGGATTCATAGGACAATTAGAGAAATTCTTAAAGGGTAACTAAGTCCTCCTTACACCCAGAAGACAGAGTTAGAGTCAACTGTCCCTCTTGAACCTAGACAACCAAGACCACTTATCTTCAGAGAGTCTGTGGCCAAGAATGTGGTGACAAAGGCCAGAAGAGTCACATAAGGAAATAAAAGAGTCACTCTTCCCCTGAGTTTACACTCTTGGATGAACGTGAGCTTCCGGTTTGTCTGTATTTTCCACCCTCAAAGGAAAGGAGAATAAGGGAGAAACAAAGAGTAAAGCAGTCACGGCCAGCACAGATTTCCACGGAAACATTTTACCTGCATGAGTTTGGTGTCGTGTCCCGTGTATACAACAACGCCGAAGACCCACTGAGTGTTCCTGAGCTGGGTGCCTCTCAGTAAGATCTGGTCGGGCCCGAGGGCAACAGAGCTAAAAGAAAAACATTTCCATTTCTTGATAATCTGTCAAATAAGCATGCCTTTTCCCTTACATAAGCCTACAATAAATCAAAGTCAAATTTGTGAATTTATGCTTTGCTTAATCTACCTACCCCACCCCAAATGTCTGCTTTATCCATTCTTCACTATAGAATAGGATAGGGGTTTTTCCTATAAAATATCAGAGAGGATTATGCCTCGTAATCCTGTTATGCAAGAACACTGACAAAGGGAATGCTAAAAAGCCTCAAGCTTATTCATTTCTGAAAACCAATCTACCACTCAACGTGTGTGTGTGTGTGTGTGTGTGTGTGTGTGTGTGTGTGTGTGTGATATCTACGTGTTCACATGTGTACACACATGTGGAAGCCAGAGGTCAACATCATTTATCTTTCCACCTTATTTTCAAAACGAAGTCTCTCACTGTCACTGATTTAGCTGGCTAGCCAATGGACTTCAGAGATCAGCCAATCTGCGCTGATCTCCCAGCCAATCCCCCAGCACTGGCATTTGCTTTTAATGTAGGCTGGAAATCCAAACTATGGCCCTCATGCATGCATAATAGGCATTTCACTGACTGTGCCATAGTCCCAGCCCCGTTTCATTCAGCTTTCTAAAGCCAAGCAGAGCTGTAGTGAGGCGCACTGTGGACGGGCTGGTCTAGCATGTGCAAGCATTGCAAGGCACCGCACGGCAAAATCAATTAGTAAAATAGAAACGGTGCTTTGTAGAAGAAAGCTAACAAGGAACTACTCATCTGCCTCCCATGTGTGGGACGCTGAATACACAGCCAGTACCACTCTGCTGCTCTCCTGTACCACTGAATGCAATGTGAACTGTTTGTTTGGCCTTGTCAGTCACAAGCAAGAAAAATAAGCCGCTTTCTATGAACCCCATGTGAGGTCTTTGGCTTGTTTCTTTCCAAAAATCTGTTCTTTTCTTCAATGTAAGGGAAGTTTTAAATGAATTTAAACAGTGTTTCAGTCTCTCAGAAATGAGCTAAACACGAAGAAATCTCACTGTTTTAAATACTACGAAACTAGGACTTTTCAAAGCTCCAGGAATTCTTGGCCACATTAAAAAGAAGGTGGGGGAGGAGAACAGGAGGAGGAGAAATAACTAAGAAAAGGAGATTTGGACCTCTTCCCATCCAAGTGCAAGTTGCCAGTGAAGTCGTAGAGGTGGCGATTGGGCCCTTCGCACTCTATCCTTCCCGACAGTTTCATCAGTACTTCCCGCGTCTGCATGTCGGCTGTGTGGCTCAAGCCCTGAAACGGGACGATAAGCCAACAGAGATCAAACACTGCCATCCGCGTCTAAGACACAGTATGGCATTCTGTCAGTCACAGGGACATAACGAGCCATCTGCAATGCGACCACGTGAAAAGTCCTACAGCACCCCTCCAGACTGCACAAAGATAGCGAGATTTCAACGGTGCAGAGGAGGAAGCCCCAACCCCTGCTAGAGACGGCCATATTTAAATAATAGTTGAAGCATTGAAACATACAGCAGAAAGCGATGCCTCCACCATCCTGCAATACTGCTCAGATAGGACAGAGGGTCCTTTAACAGTCTATTGTACACCACTCGTTACTCTTAAAACTTTAACACTTTATTCTGAATATTTCCTAAAAAAAAAAAAAAATAGTTTGATGAACCTCATCAATGCTTCTTTAAACAGAAAAAAAAAATGTAGTCCATAGGAAATAGAAAGGCACGGACAGAATTATTAAATTCAGTTTTGTGAAGCAGAAAAACAAACTCACAAAACAACAACAACATAAAATCCCACAAGGGTCTTAAATGCTTAGTATTTTATTCACAAACAACTATTGTATTGTATCTTTCAATACAGTTGTGTGGTAAGATTTTTTTTAAAAAATTGTATCTATTTTGTGCTGAATTTATTTCTGTGTCATGGGGTTCTTTTTTTGTCCCTGAAAAAAACATTTCATTCGATATATTTGATCGTAGTTTCTCTCCTCCCCCAATTCCCTCCTTGTGCTGTAAGGCTGTGTTCTATCAGTCTCTCCTACATGTCTTTCCTTCCCTTCCAGGCAGCTTCCTCTTCTGGCTTCGGAACAATGTTCCTTTTCAGTGACGGTCAGCCAGGCAGCTCAAGCAGGGTTAACTCAACCCAGAGCACTGGAAAGGTGGTGGCCCATCTGCAGATCTTCAGTGACCAGAGAATCTACATCTAAACTTTGGTTGCCCATTACTCGGCATTTTTCAGCATGTGCTGTGGAAACTCAGCCCTCCTTTTCTGTCACAGAGCCCACTGCTTGGCCTGGACACACCTGCCAGCCTCACCATTGTGACACTGAATGTCGAATGTTGCTTCTTTAAACATCTTTCAGATACTTTGTAGCTTTCAGATACGCCCAGCCCAGCGGCCTGGACAGTTTCCTACGTGTCCTTAAAATGAACCCAAAGATTTGAATCTCTTGTTTTGCATGGTTTATAGGGTTTTGGGGGGTTGGTCAAGATGGTAGTGAACCATTTTCACAGGTGACCCCAGGCGGCTTAGAGGAAGAGTAGTGGACTAACTAGTTCAGGGTATGGAAACAATGTATCTAATGCTTGGCTCTCCACTATTACAACAGTAGCTCCAACCACAATGCAAACTGAGGCACCTGGATCTTTCTAGTCTGCAAGCCCAGAGAGTAGCTTTCTTCCCATTGCCCAAGTCAGCCACATGCAGACGCCCTGTCCTGAGCACTGTGGGCAGAGCTTACGAAGACACAAATGAGTCGTGATACACTAAGCTGAAGAAACTCATTTTCTAAGCTTCCTAGCCTCCTCAACAAGGTTTCCTCATAATTGGGGGCATAGACTTCTGTAGCTTCCACTAGGGATTAAGGTGTCATTTCATGGCCGAACTTTTTCTCCACAAGGTGCATGGGGGTGTTTGTGCCATATATTTGCAGCCTGACCTCCTGTAACAATGTGAGTCACAAAGTGACTTTACCTGTCGGATTTTAAGGTTCGTCTCCCCATCCAGGTTAGCGGTTTCAACATAGCACATCCCCTGAGGCTCACTATGAGGAAGGGGAAAGGCCAAGGTTAGTACCATCCTCGCCACAAATCCCCAGCTCATGAAACCTCTGCTGTGGGAACCGTTTGCCGGCCGCCCTTCGAATACACTATTATAAACGCTGTTCTAGAAACGCAACAGATGAGAGAAGGCGCTACACACTCATCTGCGGAGCTCAACACCAATAATCCAGCTTCATCTCCACGTGCTTGTTTGGTCTTGACTGGACCGTGACTGAGAACGGATGCGAAGGGGGCAGGAATGAGAATAAAACCCACCCATGAGACAGGGTGATTCCCACAGGCTGAGGACCCTCCTGCCCCTGACCAAAAGCGTTACCCTGGCAGGCTCAGAACAAACACATCTTTAAGAAAATGAGAGCCACAGGCGTTAAAAGAAGAGGCCCGAGCCAGGCAGGCCATTGTTTCCCTACATGTGCCCCAATGTCAGAGGGCAACTCTTCAATCAATTTTAAGAAGAGCGTAAAAGTGAGCAGAGTATACACTGTCTTCCCACCTCCAGCCTCCTTCCTGGTTCAAGTTAGTCAGTAGAGTTAGTGGTGAGAAAGGACTCTTCCCCTCCCCCACATGCTACTTTGAGGGGCCATATGACTTTGGGAAGATCTTTAAGCTCTCTGTGCCCTGGTTTTTCCATGTACCAATACGAAAGGTATCTGGGGTTAAAAGCCACTGATTAGGCTGCTCACAGAAAGCACCCCTCAGATGTGAAGAGTAGTCCCCAGCCTCTGTCACTGCAGCAAACCATCTATGGTAAGCCAGCTTACCTGAGGTCACAGACAAATTTCCTGACCAGACTGCCAACTGACATATTCTAACAGTTTCTTCACTCCTACTGCATAGGGTCAATGAGTCACACCGGTTGTGTATGGCTCTTTCTTCCTCCATTGGTTTGGGTCCTATCTTTAAACCTTCTATCCCTTGGTTCCTAACATGGGGTAAAGCTTATACAAGGAACATGGCTGCAATCCAAGAAAACACAAACTGCTTAGGCACCTGCATTTCCCAGCAGCATATCAATAGAGGGATTATCGACTTAACAATGCATACTATCACCTTGAACTCCAGAACAGAAGGTCTCCATCACCCTGGATTCGGCTTTCCATTATTTGCAGTATATGTTTCACATACGGAGCTGGAGCCAAGAAGGCCAAGGGTGGCAGTACCCAGCTCTGCACGCACATCCCTGGGTGGCGATGACTGTTTCTAGTACAAAACTGCCCAAAGTGCAGCAACCATTTGGGGTAAGAGCAAAGAGCAGGGCCACCTGCAGGCTGTGTCGATGACGAGAAAATGCCTCAGATTCTCAGGACAGTTGTTCACAGGCACCATCGACAGGCTGCTGGCTGGACTGACCAAGGAAGGGCTGAAGTCTCAGCTACACTGCCTCCTGGTGTCACTGAACATTCTCTCCCTTTATCAGTGTCTCGGCCGGTGAGGACTACCCTCGAGTCACTGGGAGCTAAAGCCATCAATACCCGCAGAAAGGTTCTAAAAACCTCAGGGGATGAACAGGCGGCAACACCAAACCAAACCAAAAAGGAGCAGCTAAGGGTCACAGCAGGAGAAGGTAACTGGCAAAGGTCCAGGCTGAGCATCCCTAACTCATCCACAATTCTGGAGGCTGGAAGTATTCCCAATGTTCTACTCTTGCGAATTTTTAAATATTTGCATAGACTTTAACAACTGAACATCTCAAATCTCAACATCTGAAATCCAAAATGCTCCCCAATTCCGAAATTAAAGTTCATTGGGGATGCTCAGCTTGTAAAGGTCAGGGTTGTGGGAGGAGAACTCATGGGAAAGAAGAGAAAAGATGAATCAAGATTCTGCAGTTCATTTAGTACTTTATTGTCCTTAACATTCATTTCAAAAGCTGTGCCCACTGGCACACCTGACCTGGAGGAGAACAGGACCATGTCTGCTGGAAGATACTGCCCATTGAGGACCTTCACGATGTCTCCCACTGCCACCTAGAGACCAGGGACAGGACAGAAGGCATGAACAGGAAGAAAGCTCACATGTGATAAGGGTGGTTAAATACACGAAGAAGAGAATTAGTACATAACTAAGCCACGCGCTACAAGAACAAAGGGCAGATGTTTCCACTGTGCCACAGCTGGCTTCCATACCCACAAGCTCCACGTCTGTGAGTTCAACCAACTATAAATGCAAAATATTTGCAAAGAGAAGTGCAGCTGCCCCAGAGAGGTGGTGCACGCCTAGGATCCCAGCGCTGGTAGTTCTGAGGCCAGCCTGAGCTGCACAGGAAACCTTGTCTCAACAAAACAAAACAAAACAAAAGTAAAAGAGAGGCGATAGCATTAACAAACGAAACTAAAAGCTGCCTGCGTGCTGAGCATCACAGACGATTTTCCTGGCATTGTCTCCTAAGCTACACACCATAGTACTGTTGCCATGGCATTGGGCTTTTTGTAATCTAGAAATCTTACATTTGTGGGAGTACGTAGGCATGTTCTATGCAAACAAATGTTTCTCTATTTTATATAAAAGACTTGAACATTTATACACTTTGACATCTGTTATTATCAACCTGGAATTAGTCCCTGCAGACAGTGGGGAATGGCCACATTGCATTTTTTATTCTTAATTATAGCTTTTGTGTGTGTGTGCGTGTGCCTGTCTGTCGCTGTGTCTGTGTGTGCATATATTTGCATCTAGGTATAGGTGCTTGTGGAGAAGAGGGTGTCAGAGTCCCTGGGGCTGGAGTTACAGGTAGTCCTGGACCACAGGATGTAAGTTGTTCTCACTTAACCGCGGAGCCAACACTCCAGTCCCAGTATTGAAATTTTGCAGTGATGTTTCCTGAAAAGGATTTTTTAAAAGGAAGGAAGGGAGGGAGGGAGGGAGGGAGGAGGAAGCAGGGAGGAGGAGAAAGAGGAACGGACAAGGATGAAGATCATATTTTCTTCCAATTATCCACCCATCTCAAATGCGCAAACATTTCAATAGTAGCTTATGGTAGGGGTGATAAACATGTGGCTCTGAAGCCGGCCTGGGCTACTGGATGGAGTCCTCTCCCGCTCCCTGAGCTGCTGTGTAACCATGAGAGTGCCTTGCTTTCTCATCTATGGTACAAGGATAACAGCCCATATCTCATGGGACTGCTGACGGGCTCAACTAAGTGAGGTAGCTAAGTTCTCCTGTTTTGCAAATGGGGAAACTGAGCCTTAAAGCAAAATCACTGACTGAGGTCATACAGCCAGAGTGTTACAGCCATTATTTTTTTAAAAATATTCATTATTGTTGTGTGTGCATTCCATGGTGCACATGTGGAGGTCAGAGGACAATCTCAGGCACGAGTCCTCTCCCTCCATTTGTTTTGAACACAGGATCTTTCTTGCTGTTTGCCACTGTGCTGCGCAGTCCAAGCGAACTGACCCACAAGCTTCCAGGAGATTCTTCTGTTTCTGCTACCGATCTAGTCATAGGAGCTCTGGGATCACAGGCACATGCCACATCTGGCTTTGACGTGGGTTTGAGGGATATTAACTCAGGCTGTCAATATTCCATGGCAAATGCCTTTACCCACCGGACTATTTATCCATACAGCCATAATTTAAAAGCGGGTACCTTGATGGAACGCTGGTGTATGCACCCATTAGAGGGTAAAACTGCATTCTCTATGAGCCGTGCATTCTAACCGGCTCCGGGACCCCCACTTTGAAAGAGGGCACCACCATTGGATGGGCAGCACACAATATTTAGTTTTTAAAAAGTGTGTGTGTGTGTGTGTGTGTGTGTGTACATTAATACTGTAGTATGTGTATGGAATGTGTACACTGTAGAATGTGTATGGATAATTAGAAGAAAATGTGATTAACTGTTCACTTCAACTTCATGTCCTCACCTTTCACCTTGGATTTTTTGGTTGTTATTGTTTTCTATTTTATTTATTTGTGTGTGTGTGTATTTGTGTGTATGTGTGTGTGAGAGACAGACAGACAGACAGACAAAGACAGAGAGTACATGAGTGAGTGTGAGCATATACGTCACAGCAGATGTGTGGAGGTCAGAGGACAATCCCCAGGAGTTTTTTCCTTGTACCATGTGGAGCCTAGGGATGGAACTCAGGCCGGCAGTAAGCACCTTGGCCTACTGAGCACTGGCCTCCACTGACTTTTGAGACTAAGAAATGAACCCAGCACCATGGCTTAAGGTGTGAAACAGGTGGATAAGCATAGTCTCCCGCAGGGTTTGGGTGTAACTTAATGGACTGTGTCAGTGTGAAGGTCAAAGTCAGGAGAATTCCTTGATGACTCGGAGAAACAGTTCCTAGTGCACAAATAGGTAGAGAGTACAGGAGAGGTGCTGTGCCTTTCTGTCCCTATTCTACTTAGATTGCAATGAGTTTCAAAAGCTACACTCGTGGAAATGACTGGATCACACAGACCAGCAGGTACCATGTAACGTTCTTTTAGGGGCTGGAGGTGAGCAGTGGTAAAAGCTTTTACCCAGCATGCATAAGGCCCCAGTCCCACCCCTAGCCCCACCACCACCACTAAACCCACTCATTTTCTGTTGGGCAATGAGAGGGTTTGAACCACTCTCCCACTGGTGCAGCAGAATGCTTATCAAAGGCAAGAACAGCAGACATCAAAGCCCAAACCCCTGGGTCACGTGAAGTTAGCATCAAATCGCAAGTCAGTATGTAATGTGAAGGCAGAAGGCAGGCACAAATCAAAGCGGTCCCATAACCACACAGAGCAAACACCGGGATGATCATGCGCACTGAAGACGTGTTTAAGTAAAAATATCTTACATAAGTAGTTTAGAAAAAGAAGGAGCAATGAATAAAAACCAGAAAGAAAACTCAGTCCTTTTAAAAAGAAGTGGATCCTTTGCCCCTAATTCAAAGCAAGAGGACAAGTAAAACAGCCTTCCCTCATTTCTAGAGGGCACTGGCTTCCCAGGAACCGGGTGCTAAGAGGTTTCAAGAACAATGAGAAGCTGCTAACTCAGAACCTGAAGATGCCTTTCTATCTGGGTGTCCCTACACGTGATCAACCGGTCCAGGCGTGTGTGGTATTCGCTAAAAGAATTAGTGCAGTGAACAAAACTCTTCTGGGTCCCTGGATTCACGGCAGCCTCAGAAGGCTCCTCCTATCTCTCAATTACAAGCAGCTAAAGGACTCTCTTGAGTTGATCACACTACTGAGATCTTCCTCCCTGAGATGACCAAAGTCACGCAAAGCCCAGGGGCTGCTGTTACAAACGTCACACCTTCACAGGAGTGCAGCTGTGTGTGGCTCTCCAGAATACCTCAGTATCTCCTGCCCTCTGCCTTGAACAACATCTTTTCATGACCCCTGCCAAGCTGGCAGGGTGCACTGGGCTGCAGTGAGCCGCCCACATGGCCAGCAGCAGCCTCTCCTGTGAACTTCAAATGGAAACTCCAGACCTCTGTATTCTAGAAATAGGGCACATGTGTGCTTGATCGGTGCTGGGTACCAAGGATGGCCTGCATGGTTGAGGACAACCGCACAAGAAGACTTCAGCATGAACTCCATGCTTGTCAGTCTCTGGCCTCTGCTAACAGACCCATTTAAGATGGGTCACCATAACGCACTGAAATCAAAACCACAATGTATCCAGCCCGGCCTACAACAAGGTGGTGATACCCCAAGCACCTGTGGGAACAGGAAGGAACTCCAGGAGGCCATAGGGCCACCAGCTCTTGGGTTCAGGATTCACCACTGCAGGTCCCACTACTATTTCAAGAGGTGCCAAGACACTTGGATGCAAGTCATTTTTCATCTGGCCAACGCTTATGCCTGTCTCAGGATAAAGCAGCCAGGAGACCCCTGAGAAATGGAGGAGCTATGAGGATTCTCCACTTCTCACTGCACGGGTACCAGCTCTTCCCTGGTAATTCTGCCTTTTGACCAAGAACCATCACACTGAACTTCCAAAGTATAGGAGGCCAAGGAGGCCACAAGGGTTGCAGCGTTCCACAAAACACGACAAAGGGGAGTTCTCTTGAAAGGGTAGATGGTTGTAAACTGGGTAAAGTCAAATGAAAACCACAGTGAGTGCTATAGGCACACTGGCAACATTGTTTTCCATTCAAAAGCCACAGGAGGCACTTACTGTAACTTAGATATGTAAGCAAGAAACAGTACTTGAAGTTGCCCTTCTGGAACATTGTTTTCTCTTTCAAAACAAAGACAAACCAAACAACAACAAGAAAAACCCATCAGTTTTGAGTGCTAGAATGATTGGCATCTCTAAAATTAACACTGTGTGTCCACCAACAAGGCCCAGCTCAGGTAGCTGGATAAAGGGAGGCACAGCAAGGCGGATCTCTGTGAGTTCGAGGCCAGCCTGGTCTACAAAGTGAGATTCAGGACAGGCACCAAAACTACACAGAGAAACCCTGTCTCTGGGAGGAAAAAAAAACCTGCTGGCTTTTCAGATACAAAACCCCAAAACAGCATAGGTGATTTCAGCCAACAACAACAACAAAAACATCTTTCCTCCATGAACTCAGCCCTCACCCTGGCAGCCTGCAGGGAGGAAAATCCCTCTTATTATCATTCTGAAGACAAAAGCAGCAACCGGTTCCACACCCTGCCTGGGAACCCTGTTCACACCCAGAGATCTTTCCACCAAACACATCTGAAGTGAGAATCTCAAAAGTTAAAAGATAACAGCTCTAAACATTTGAATTTAGGTGAAGGAAGGCAAGAGACTGGGGAAATGTTTCTCACATGGGGTTTAGAAACTGTTAAGTGCTGTGAGGTTCCAGAACTATCCTTGGCGAATAAAGATGTCCACAACTTGAACATTAGGTCCTTACAGAAGGGGCCAGAAAGGAGGGAGCACATGGCAGTTCTCATGGGAAAGCAGACTACATGAGAAAACTCATGTAAAGTAGACACAGCCTTGGCCTTACAGCAAATTTTATATTGCCATCAACATCAGCAATCTGTGACAAGTCTCCAAGTCAATATTTCCTGGCATTATCTTTAAAACTGATTCTTACCTCTTTCCATATGATAGTATGCCACATACCATTTCTTAACACTGTAAAAGAAAAAACAATGAATTGGTTAGTATTGTAGAGACTCAAAATAAAATGTCAGCTTTCTACAAACCCAAAAAAGGCTCTGTGAAACTTGTATTTATTAATCCTAACAAATCATATCCTTGGCAGAATGGCAGATGACCAACCATGCCAATATAGGCCTCCATATGTGTACCTCTCCAACACATGAGTTCATGTGTGCATGTAAGCAAACCAAATTTATATTTAGCCCAGGAGTAGAAAAGGCTCGGTGTTACATAATTCCAATAGAAACAAGAACAGCAACAAAAAACTGAATTGATACAAACACCAAAATAATAACAAAAGTGAGTAACAACCACAGCTGTGGAGCCATGACACTTCTAGAGACATCAGCTAATTTCTAAAAATCTTGTCTTCCAGAGTATAAAATCCCATTGATATCTTATAAAGACTAACATTTTATTTTAGCACTCTTCTATTTCTTGAAAGATTTTATAGATAATGTTCCCAGCTTAATCTCAATGTCAATAGCCATGATCAAGCATTACTTAAGCACAGGACTCGTTCCTAAACTAACAATGGAAAGAGAGATTGAGCCTGGTGGCTTACCTATTGTTTTCTTCTTGTTAACTGCATTGTCTGCCTTATGTCGCTTCTGTTACAGGAAAAAAGCAAACATCCAAATGTTCCATATGAATAATTGAAATGGAAAGCAGTAAAACCAGGGGGTAATGGGGGCCAAGAACCCTACAATGCTAATGCTGTAGATTTAAGCTGGGTGGTTCACCATCTGTCAGCACTGACTAGATCTCGATGTGACTACCTGAAGCTTAGGTGACTTTTGGTTCTAATGATTTATAAGCCCTTCAAAGTTTCAGTTTCCTCACAGTTATTTGTGGACAGCCTGAAACAATGATTCAGTATTATAAACCCAACAACAAAGAGCAGGTTTCATTCTCAAGTTAAATTACTATGTATTCCATGAAGTATATAAGTGAGGGGAATCAAGTGTGTGTGTGTGTGTGTGTGTGTGTGTGTGTGTGTGTGCAAAATGGAGAGATGGAGGGAGATAATGGCAACGTGGTTGTAGCCAATGAGGTGTGAGGGAAGCGTGAGGAGAAAGATTCTTGGAGAATTACTTCAGGCATAAGAAGCACAAAGCTGCTTACAGAGAGTGATAATTAAAGGCTTCATTTGATACCTGAACACAGTCACTCTAAAGCAGGATACAAGGACTAATAGTGATTAACACCAGCCAAGTTCTAACAAAATGATCCAGGACATAGAAGTGCCTCAGAATCACTGCACAGGCATCTAGGATTCTTGAAGTATCTCTTCCTCCCCAGGAAACACCACTACTCCCCTAGCAGCTGGTTAGCTGTAGCCCTATTTCCTGTTACAAGCATTTCACCCGGTCACATATACTTCAAATGTCATGATACGATGTTGTATTATGCAGAGTCAAAAACTTACAAAATCTTCTACAATCTCTTTGATGCCTGCAATTGTTAAAATGATGATCAATGGCACCAGGGTGGTGTATCGTCCTGTTGGCGATACGTCTGGAATTTGCTGTAAGAAAACACAAGACAGAGTGTGGCATGTGAACATCTCCACAGAGAAGAAAAACATGGCGCTCAACCCCACTCTCACTAATCTGGTCCATTTCTGTTACACAACAAAAGCCCTACTAATTAAAAAAAAAACTAGCTAAGTAGTTTACATTTGCAAGTTTATCTGACATGGCAATATGTTTGAAAAACAGGTTAGAAGTACGACCTTCATGGCCAAAATACATGCATGGTATATATGTTTGAAATATCACAATGGAATATAGTGTCTGATATAATGAATATGTGTTAATAAAAAAAAAAGTGAACACGACAAGTATGACCCATAAGAACCAGTTCCCCTTCCCTTTTTAGTAACTACTTTTTTCAAGGAATTCTCTCCCAAGTCTGTTTTATACAAAGATCATGTCTGTTCACTCTGGTGATTATTTGAGGAGGCAACTATCTGCAAATAGTCCAACATTTTTTCCAATAAAGATAATTGCTAGTAAAATCTCATTTTGCACATAACTGAGTTTGCAAATTTCAAGTACTTTAAGAACCCATTACCTGCAGTAAGGCAATAAATAGGAAGAAGGCATTAGCAGCTCTCCTAATCTGCTCATACAAGAATCGAGGTAGAAATGTCAACACGCTGTACTTGGCCGTACTGAAAATACAAAGAAAAGTACTACTATTAGCTAAAGAGGTAACCCCTAAATAACAACAAAGTGACCCCCCAACAGTATGTCCTATGTAAAGGGACGCAGCTGATCAGAGAAGCTTCCAATGTGATTTCAGTTCAAACTTTGAACACTCAACTTTCCCATGTGGTGACCAGGCCACTTAGCCCATCTGGGAGCCACATGCTAAGAGCAACACTTGTGAATATCAGTTCAATGAACCCCTGTGCACATGATACGCTGTGTGTTTCACCCACACCTGAATAGTTTCCATTCCTCGCCCCCACCATGCACCCTTTACTTGGCAAACTTTGCTCAGACTTTGGCTTCACCTGGCTACTTTCTCCCTCCACCCTGCAGCCTCTTAATGAGTGACCTGTCTACCATCTCATCCCTGTTACATTGTTAGCTTCCATTACATTTGGTCAAATTCTAAAGGACTCTTCTGCCTTTAAACCCATGGAGGTTATTCTCATATCATGTTGTCTTTGCTTTAACTCATACAAGTCCTCTGAATTCATAGATTAAAAAGAAATATTTGAAAGGAAATTGTATCTGTACTGAACACATACAGGCTTTTTCGTTATGATTCCCCTTTTCAGCACACTATAACGATAATTTCCATAGCATTTATTGCACTGAGGAATGTAAGTCATCTAGATACAATCCAAAAGTATGGGAGGAGGTTGTGTAGGTTCTGTGTACAAGCAATTCCAAACATATGCCAGCACCCTTCTCCTTGTGAGTGTGAATATTTGGCTAGCAGTAGGACCTGGGAACTGGGGTGAAATGACCCCAGTGAAAGTGTTTACGGCTGGTCACCCAGTCTCTCCCTACATATTGTGTGTCATGGGACCCATGGTGTGGCTGAGGTCCAAGGCGTGGACTTGAGCTCTGGCAGCTGGTTGTGAAGGTGCACACATTGGGCCCTGGTCATTTCCCTCCCAGGACAAAAGCTTTCAACCTTTCTCAGGAGAGGACAAGGTTGGAGGAAGGAGTGTCCTAGTGGGATTGAACAAGTATGGGAGACAATCTCTCAGAAAATCGAGCCCAGCAAAAACGTGGGTCTGTAGCTTATTCATCATCCCAAACCACCAAGCTGCCCGGGAGCCAGAGCTACAGAACACAGGAAAAAGAAGGCATCTTCAGAGCTGCTGGCTGTGCTGGCTCCCCAGCACAAGAAAGGCTGGAACTGATCATTCTGAATTTCTCCAGCAGCTCAAAGTGTGTTTTCCCCTGAAGAAGCCTCCAGAAACCTGCCAGCTGGACCAGCTTAGCACATATCTTCCAATTGTGAACAGTAAATCCACAAGAACCTTGAAGGCAGCCATACCACCTCTTCTCTTGCGTACATGCAAAATACACATCTGCTCAACAGTAAGGGGGTCATTTAACAGCCACTGAAAGAGTAGAAGGCCACACTGAAGTCCCCACAAGATGCTGGCTTGATGTATAGACCAGTGCTTCAGACCCATGTTCTGGGAGTCCCACATTCTCCCAGCTCCCTAGAAGACACACCATCCCTTCTCTTGAGGACACTCACTTCACAGACTGGAGGTGAAACCCAGTGGCAGGTGCTCTCCTAACATGCTTTGTCAAGGCCCTGGCTTTGATCCCTAGTACAACAAAATCAAGCTGCTAGCACTAAACCCTGCCAGGCTTGAAGATGTACACCCCTAATCCTAGCACTAGGGAGGCCGAGGATCATGAGTTCAAGGCCGAGTTAAGCTATCAGTAAAGTCACCATGTCAAAAACACTGAAGGGGAAAGAAGATAGAAAAGGGGAAAGGAGAAGGGGAGGGGGAGGAGAAAAGTCACTAAGGAGTTCTAGACTACTAGGATTTGAAGAAGGAGGAGGAGGAGGAGAAGGAGAAGAAAGATTAATGTCCTAAGAACTTACCCATGTCTTTATATAACAGTTAATTTATTTATTGTTTATTCATTTTATGGTGATGAAGATTATTATCAAATTCTATTGAAGTGCTTAGTTTTAACTGAAATACTCCAGTCAGTCTCCCATATGCATACAGGATTGTGCATAAAACCAAAGTATGCGGTTTGAATTCTCATACCTGTGCATAGGCTCATAGACAAAAGCTGCCCCCAGCCTTAAACAGAGAAGCCTCTCTGACAACAAGCAGTGATGAATGCAGACTTGTGGCCGTTCAAGATGCTAAGAATAAGTGACAGCTGTGAGCTCACTCCTAAAGAAAACATGTCACCACCCCCTCTACGACTCACGGAACACTGCAGGACGTGTGTAAGAGCTGGAAGGTAAGAGGTGAAGAGCTGTGGAAGGCTATTCTCTAGACTAGTGGTTCTCAACTTGTGGGTCATGACCCCTTGGGGGGTTGCATATCAGATATTTACATAAAGATACATAACAGTAGCAAAATTATAATTATGAAGTAGCAACAAAATAATTTTATGGTTGGGGAGTTCCCGCAACATGAGGAATTATATATATATTAAATGGTCTCATCATTAGGGAGGTTGGGAACCACTGCTCTAGACTCATACCACCATAGTAATCATGAACTCACAACAACTGTGCTCTCTTACACTGAGCTCACATAGGACTAGCCCTAACAACGATCAGTCACAGAAGCAGAAGGGGCTCATAGGGCCCCAATGTTTACCACTGACGTGCTGGCTATTGACCGATTCTGGAAGAGAATTGCTGCCTTTAGTTGTGTCCAATTGCCCTGGTTAACCTCAGCAGGTCCCGAAACAAAACAAGTAGACATGAGTACAGAAAGTAATTTGTGAAGAGGGGTGGTAGGGAGATGAGAGAGTTACTGGAAATGACCAAGAAACAAGATAACTGAGCTGAAAGCCAGAAAGTGCTTTACTGTGTGCATACAATAGGGTGGACAAAATCAGTTCCAAAACTGAGCCCCAAGTTCAGTTAAACAGCTTTTTTACATCCTCTTTTGTCTTACTAGCAATCTAGAGTGGCATATGTTTTCATTGGATAGCTAAGTTTACTTCAAAGAATTTATTGAAGTACCCTATATAAGCAGAAACTTTTCTCCAAACAGCAGAATTTACCATAAGCCATTAATAGGGTAGAGTGGAGGGAGGAGGAATTTAGTTACCTGCAAGTCAGAGTGAGATACTGTAAAGGTGCTAGCTTGTTGCAAACATTTATAATTGTAGTATAACAAATGTTTCCTAAAGACACAAAGCTATTAAAAAAGAGAACACATTGGCAAAGGGGAAAATCAATTAGACATTAGGTTTCTTGCTAGGAACACAGACAGCTAGGGAAACACTTCACATTTTTATACCCAGCCAAACTGCAAGGTATTCTGCACATTCGCTTTTTAGGAAGCTCCTTACTGTACCGGGAGCATCAACAGAACTGGAGAGTAATTATTTTCTTACTGGATTGTTGCACGCTCCCTATGCATTGAAGAATCCTAGTGAATGCCATAAATATGCAGCTATTTTTTTTTTAAAGAAAGGAAATATATATTGCAACCAAAACCTGGGGATATAACTCCGGAAAGTTCTGGGGTGTCCACTTTACAACATAGCTACAGAGTGACTAATCTGTCTAGGGAAGAGCTTGCTAGTGTAGACATAGAGACCATTTGACAGGATTATTTCCAAAATATAGAGAAGAGACAGTGTGAAGCTTAGCACTAGAGGGCTCACCTAGCATGCAAGGACCAGGTTCAATGCCAAGCACTGCAAAAATAAAACAAAATACAAATATAGAGAGGTTGGGTGGTAAAAGTATATAGAGATATTAATATGCAAAATTGTTTAAGCTGAAAGGAGGGGAAAACAAGTTATACTAAAAAAAAAAAAAGAAGTAATCATGGTCCACCACTTCACCATTTAGCCCTAAGGTCAGTAAATTAAATCTTCATTTATTAAAGAATTCTATGAAGATAATTTCTAAACTTAATTTTAAATCACAATGAAGGACTGTGTAGCTCAGAAGCAGAATATTTTCTTAGCATATGTAAGGCTTTGGGTCCCATCCCCAGCAAAATGATCATAATACACATACATTCAAATATATGCACACACATGCAGGAAAACTAAATTTCTAAAAAAACAAACAAACAAACAAAAACCCTAAATTCTAATTTTGAAATGTGGTAGAAACCAACAGAAGAAATTAAGACAGAGTCCAAAGTGGTTGTTTCCACAAGAGTAGTACATCAGATTGATGATTATTTGTTGATTTTCGTGATAATCTGTTCAACTGTTTGAACTTTTAACCACCTGTATATGTTGTTTCCATACCAATTTTAAACCATATTTGAAATTAAAGAGTATCCAGCTAGAACTAGGAAGGAACAGTTGTTCTTTGGAGTAGTTTTAGAATGACCATACATCAGGAGCTGTTTATTAGAAGATGATGTTGGGCTAAAGACCCAACTTGTTCTTTTACTACCCCCACCACAGAAGGTCCTGGTAACCCATCCCATCTGATACTGCACCCAACAACCACTTCCTCTGGCCAGCAGCCATGGGGGAGCCCGAGGCTCATGGGTGGAAGGAGGGGAATTCTGGCCTGTCCCACAAGGGCCTGACAAGCATTAGCTCTCTGATACACATCTGGGTCATCCTTCTTATAAGGCCAGACTTCAGCACCAGGCTTCCTTCCCCCCTACTCCCCTACAGGGAAATGCAGAGCATAGCCCTTCTCCTGTAAGTGGAAGTCACTTTACTCTGAAGAGTGCTAGTCCTTACTGAGTTTTCTGACTCCTTTCATCCTCTGCCAAATTCCCATAACAGTTTTATTTCTTCTTTTCATCAAACCACATCCCTCTTTTCTTAGCCAACAGCCCAGGGTCATCTACTCCAGCAAGTTTTTCCCCATTCAAATCCAGGCAAAGTGTACACTGTGTATCAACTTACCCATTTCAACATAGTGTAAATGAGACAGAGAGAGAGCCAGGTAGACAGTCTGCAGAAGTAGTTTCTTTTTTTATATGGGGATCTCTGAGATGGCCACATCAAACATCCT